TGATCAGAATATCCCATTTTGATAACCATTTCTGGATTTTGTCCACTGACCTTTGAAGTATCTCAATGGCATCAACAAGGATGTCGTTTTGTCCCATTATTAACATGTCATCCGCAAACATGGCCATTTCGAAGTTTACGTTGGTCGGGATATCATGCATAAAGATGTTGAACAGAGCACGGGATAAACTACTACCTTGTGGGGCGCCTGCAAGTATTCTTCGAGTGCTGGAGGAGTATCCATTGATGGCGACGAAGAAAGTTCTCTCCTCCAGGAAGGAGAATAGAATTGCAAGTAAATAGTTGCTTAACCCCGTTTGATTGAGCTTGTATTTTAATCCTTCAATCCAGACAGTATCAAAGGCCCTTGCTATATCCAGCGAAACAACTTTTTAGCCTCGATATATTCCGCTACTCTTGCCAGTTGGTGAACCGTGGAGTGTTCCTCTCTAAATCCGTACTGGATGTTTGGGATTATTTTGAGGAGGCTTAACTCTTCTTGTAGTCGATGATGGATGACTCGTTCGAATAGCTTAGATAAGGATGAGAGGAGACTGATTGGGCGATAATTGGCTGGGTCCGTATTGATTTTGCCTGGCTTTCTGAACATTAGGATTTGGGCTTTTTTCCATACTACCGGAAAGTAACCAACTTCCAGACAGCGATTAAAAATTACTGTGATGTGCCTCAGTAGTTTCTCCTGAAGGTGTTTTATTACTATATTAGGTATCTGAGCTTTGCTGTCCTTTAGTTCTTCTACTGAGATTCTGCCGATCTCGGTAGTTACTGAAGTTAGTAGATGGGATTCATTATATTGTTGGATTATGGTAATGTGACGAAAATAAGCAATACACCACTATCGCATTTTTAGATGTAGCTAAAACCTTTGATACAGTTTGGACGGAGGGATTAAAATTCAAACTATTGCATCTAGGTCTAGATGACTATATTACCGCCATACTTATGTCATATCTTCAAGAACGAACTTTTTGTGTGATAATAAATGGTACGTATTCAGATAGACCTTATTTAATATATTTATGCTATCACATGCGACCCCTCCCTGTTGTCCTCCCTGAACACATACCCCAAGTAAGTATACTCCCTAACCTCCTCGATCTCTTTTCCCTCCCATCTCCAGTTTTCTGTTCTTTTTCTCCCCCCCCTTACAAAACTTCATCAGTCACTTCCAGCCCCTTCCCCCTAAAATATCTTTCCAATGTCTTTATCATATCTTTCATCTCCGCCGCTTCTCTCGCCATGACCACGATGTCATCCGCGTATGCTAACATATGCACCTTTCTACCTCCCACCACCAACCCTCCCATTTGCCCCTTCCCCAATCTATCCTCCAGGTCCGCCGTATACAGTGCAAACAGACTTGGGCTCAGCGGACATCCCTGCCTCAGTCCCTTCGTCGTCCAAAACACGTCGCTCAGCTTATCTCCCACTTTTATCCTAGCCATAGTCTCCATGTATATTTCCTTCACTCTCGCAATTAGGTGTT